CGCATTTTTGTTTAGTGTCATTAGACATTTAATTACAATAACATCGATATGAACCCTGTATCGCCATTTGGGAGAATTTGAGAAATAATGTGAATTTACATTATTGTGTTAGCAGAGTAATTCGTGTTGCTTCTGGCAGCTTCATACAGCTTATCGTATAGAATAGCAAAACAAGACGGAAAAAAGTGGTTTGAGGAAATTCGTAAAGGCTGCCTAATTTTCATCTCTGATATATAAGGATGATATATTTATAAGGGGAAATTAATAACCTTATTAATACAACATTTGGTAAATCCCAACACTGTTATTTCCAGAAGACAACACTGCAGGTAAACAAATGGTAAATGTGGACATGTCCCTTACACACAACATATCACTGTAACACCTACACTACAACGTTACCACATTTGGCTGGCGAATCCCTGTTGACTCAAGCAGAGATACACTGTATTGTTGAGGTAAAATATGTAAAATATTGTAAAATCAGCTACACGATAATGTATAATCTTTTGGGACGTGTAACCGGAGTTGAAAAGATTGGTTAAATGTTTTCAATATTCATTGAGGATTCAGGATAGTCAAATGTGAAAATGTTGTGCTGCTATATGTGAATTATAAAGCCCCATACAAATTAAAATACTATGGTATTAAGTAACGATAAACTTTTCAAGATAATAAAATTATGCTATACAAGCATGACAGGTAACTTTGTGGCTCAAAAATATACGACTATATTTCTTAGCTAAATCTGAGTTTCTAAAAGACTTCGGTTTAGAGTTCAATTTAAAACGTGTATGATTTACTAAAACTATAATTGTTCAACTACAATATTACTATGTCACGATAACTAATGAAACGTTTATAAAACAGCAATATTTAATTCCAAACATTTTTCTATCACTATGAATCCCTTACATTTTCCAGCTACGATAGATGGAAAATGGCTAAATATAAGTAGAGCATGGCAAACGTATGCATAAAAACATCATATTAGTATTAATGGCCGCGATCAGCTCAGTAAAGTGATCTGGACAGACGTTACAGATGCATTCACAAATTGGAAGACATTTGGCTCGATGCCGAAGGAATTGCTGACCAAATGTTGGAACATATCAATGTTAACGTCATGTTGCATTCAACATGTAAAGTGACAACTCAATGTCTACTACCTACTACCATTCCTCAGTTACTCTCCTACAAATAATACACATGGCAGCTGTGGAGGTACAATAGTAACACCAAGACGTATTGTATTGTGGATGTATTGTGTATTGTATGTATTGTATGTACAGTGACAACTTATTACTTCAATGTCTACATCAGCCTCTTTTACAAAGATGTATGTGACAAATTTCAATTGAGAAATAATGAAATGTGCGAACAGTTTTTTCCTCCTCATAGTGAACACGCAGTTTATCCAATTACCAGCAGTATTGATCAATCGAACGAAATGTGGAATTTGTAATATATATAAACATTATAAACCCATGGATAAAAGGTATGTTCAAGATATTATCCTCTAGTGATTTGAAGTATTAAGTATATTTGAGTATACTTGATATAATCATGTAAGTCATCTTTAAAATCTTTGTCTACGATAGGCCTATAATATTCGACTGCGGCGTCAGTTAAAATAAGTTGCACCCAACCCACATTTGTATCCTTCATTTTTCAATAAAACGACGCAGTGATATCCCTGTTGTTGCAGGAGACTCGATTTAACTGGACTATATTAAATTACCTTCAAATCCCACCTACTGAGAGAATCATTTATGAGTCTGGGGCTCGTAGTTTCTCTGTATATTGTGTTACCTTTATTCAAATACAACTGAAATATAATACATGTATTGTGCTGGTAGAGACCTTTAATTAAGAGCAATTTAGAGCCTTCCTATTGTAGGAATACATGTAATGTCATTGTATTTTCACTGAATTTTAAGCAAATTTTGATTTCTTATGTTACTGAATTCTAAAGTCTTTTAAACATTCTGAATAAGGAGAGGTTTGATCTTAAATTTGCTTTCTAATTGTATTTTCTTTCCTGGCATGCATTCAAACATTATTTTTCGTCATACTACAGCAGCAACGATTTAGTACATGCGTTGCTGGCTAAGCAGCTCTTTTTATCCCCGGGGAGTAAAATGCTTTTTAGTCACTAACAAACACTATCATAAGAGACGAAATGTGTGAATAATTATTAAACAGCTTCTTATTTCCATTAAAAAGGTTCTACTTTTGACCCGAAACGCATGCATAATCGGCAGTTTGTGTTACAGTATGATGAAAAATATAGTTCATCACACGGGCAAAAAGTGTCACTTATTTTTCAACTTCGGCTTCGCCCTAGTGACGAAATATACTATTCTTTCATAAAAAAAAACATTCAAACGTTATTTTTAAATAATTTACCTATCTTAAATAGCATACCAGTTAAAAACATAGCTGAGCAGTAATAAGTCATTAATCAGTTACTATTTATTTCTAAACATTTTACTTATCTGAACTTGATAATCGATTATATCTGTAGTGCAACAATGCAAAGATACCATCAAATATGTCTTAAAACCTTTTAAATTCATTGAACTTCAAATAATGACAATAAGGTATTCACCAGACCCAGCACCTAACTAGAAAATAAAAACGGTAATTTTTCATAGGAGAGCTTTCTACCAATTCTCCATCAACCATGTCGTAGATTACACACATCTCATTTCACATATTTCACACCGCAATGGAGTAGAAATTCTGAAGATTATGCACCTAGTATAAACAAAACTATATGATTCCATCGACTGAAAACACTTGTGAAAAAGAGGTCAACGGGGGAATTGAATACAGGAAAGCCTTGTTCAGGGTGATTTAGACGACGGGTTAGCCACGCCCAGCGTAAATCACCCACACAATACACCAACTCATCCCTCCCGGTTAGGGATGAAAAGTAACAGGATTAGCGGATAAGATAAATCCATGCGACCTCAGCCGTTGTACGGTTTGCGTTTATAATTTTACCTTCCAGATATTTTCACTTGAGCGGACATTTATGTCGTGAAAAAAAAAAACAATATATATTACACAAAATTGTCTGGGTATTCTACTGGTTGTACAGCTCGCTTCAAATTTGAAGTTTTTGTTTGATCAAAAGGTAAACAACAAACTCAGCAGGTGTCAACCCGCCTCTACTGTAACACGTATCGACTATGTTGGGCTTCCACCAAAGGTGATACCTCATAATAGAAAAGGTTATGAAAATATATTATACAGTATTTGACTTTGATACAACATGGGGACAGTCAAGAATATTTTTTAGCAAACGTTAGTACATTAAATGGCATTATATATTCAATCTAATTGTTCAAGTAGATTTAAGGAAATACTTTAGTTGTAACAATTTTATAAATACTAAAACAGATTGCTAAATAAATAGAAAAACAAACAAAATAACTTGAGAATTGGGCTTTATGCAAAATGCTTAAACGAAAGCTTGAGCACATGTGGTTAACTAGGTTTAAAATGACTTATGAAAATTACATAGATACTATTTCAGAGTTCATAGGATTTATCAATTTTTTTTTCAAATAACTAGTTAAGTTACCTCAAAATTAATTTCACTTAGCAATTTTTGAAAACAGGTATACCCACACAGAATCGAAAGCAAAACAAGTTTGTATATACATACAGTTCACGTTGACTATTTGAAAGTGAACTGTTGACTTGATCACAAAACATACACCCAGAATTAACAACTAGATTAATATAATGAAATGTTAATAGTTGGCGGAAAGAAATAGCATAGCAGCCCATAAGTTCTCATTAAAAACTACATAAACCGATTTGAAAAATAATTACGAAAAAGAACCAAAACGTCGATGGCATACAATTTTACATGACAACTATATTGAAAACTACGCACAAAATCTATATCTACATATTTTTAGAAAAATTTGTTAAAATATAATTTTCCCTAACCGAATTTCGGTCACGATCGACACCCCAATAAGGTGACAGTCTGGTCGGGATCGGCGTAACGTCCCCAATTTGGAAAGGTTCCAACCCTCAGTCGATTTGCGCAGGAAACTGTGGCTATAAGACAAAGCTGAATGGAATCCATTATATTCCATTTCATTGCGAATTACTGAAATGATACTTGGCTTAATCTTTCCCTGCGACGTTAGGGTTTATATAAACTGTCTCAATAATAGGATCAACGTAATTATGTGTACTTTTATTGTTTGATTTGAAATGTTTATTTATTTTGAAAAGATAAAGTTGTCGGTAAAACTGACGTTTATTATAGGGTTTTGTAACGAGAAATATATTACGATGTTAGATGCATAAAAATAATATTAATGTAGTTTGAGTTTTAGTATTTTACCGCTGTTTACGTAAGCCAGTGTTTTGAAACCATTACTTTCGTGGTTCCGACCACGCTATGACTTAAGATCATAAATCCATAGGAAAAGGTTGAGTTTTAAAACTACTTACTCAAATGCTTACACCACAGCAAACGCATTAGAACAATTAAATAGTATTTTGTCTAATACTTCCCTTTCTAAGTTAACTAACTACTTTGATATTTCTCTTTCGCATCATAGTCAGAAAATCTACAAAAACTTACTAATATTAAGAATGTACACAAAAAAATCTATATAAAATAGATATTAGCATGATAAATCATTTATACTATATGTTAAGCTTTAATAATAGCTATTAAGTTTTAAAATCCAGAACAAAAGGTCCAAACAACTAATTTAATGGTACCGAACCCTCTCCCAAAACAACCCACCCGCAAACGAGTAAATCAAGCTGGTTTGTGAACTCAATCAAGTTTGTGTCCATGTTTGATCTAAATTTAATCAAAATTGGAACTATTTATAACAGTTGTTATTTTGCTTACTAAGGCCCACACAAACGGTGATCCTTGGTCTTGCAACGTCCCCCTTTATGTTTTCCTTAACACTACAGTACTGTATAAACAACAAGCAATCAATATTCCAACTCACCTGCATTTATGGACATGAAGTTGCCTTTAAGATACATTGTTCTCTCCGAACATTAATCCAATCACGATCTGAAACAAATTATTAAAATAATTATTTGTAAGTAATAACTTAACAGTTTTCACTGTTAATTATTGTTTGTTCTATTATTTTTCAAATATTACTGCAAGACATTTTTTCTGCAGTCTTAAGGATTATACCCACTTTAAAAGGCATTTATAAACGAGTGATCTTTCATAGAATGTATATTTAATTTGTTATGGATTGACAGGTTAAAGTTCCCATCATAATAAAACTAAATTCCGCTGAAACTTAAATAATAAAAGCCAAAATAAATTGTAAATGAAACGTGAGTTTCGGTCCAACTGTACTTATTTTTTGTTTAACCCGCATTAAGAAGATGCTGGCTGTGATTTTTGTGAAGATCGTTTTAAAGCAGTTTTCATTCGAACATCACTGGAGTTATTGGAGATGTGTAGGAATAACATTCTTACAAAATAATTGAAAAAAAGATTGAGATAGGTTATGTAAACCTTGTCATGTATTATTATAACTTATCATTCAAATCTATCACCCTAAATAGGTATTACTCCATATTTTTTGTTACAATAAAATTGTTCGCCGTCAAGTGGAACAGTGCCTATATTTCAAAGAAGGCAGGGCTTTGAACATGTACAATAAAAACAGTATGAAGGTACGTGATCAAATGTTTAAAAACTAATAGAATTGACTTGGGACACTACTGTACATATATCATCCATAAAAATCACTGAAACTGGTGGTAGGTAGAAAGGAACATATGTATTGAGCCTCAAAAAAGTCTCTTTTGGATTACATCCACTGGTATATAGTGAGTTTTATTTTCCAAGTTATTACAGTTGGGCTTGACCAAAATGTTGTAAAGGAAGTGCATGAAATATCATAAGGCTTTTTATCAATGGTTTTGTTATTCAATCACTTCTAACCTAAAACTAGCTACAATTATAATGGGGTAACAGTTACCTCACAGTGTATCGAAATGCCCCTTTTGCTCCACACTTGCAAACTTCCATCACGGTTAAGCAATAGGAAACGACGATGACTCAAAAGCAACTAGTTTCAGCGGTACAACGATAACAAGTACTGTTAGTTAATTTGTCAACTTTATCACTAGTGATTCAGATATTTAAGCAACTTAGCATTGTTTTCCGTTTTATCACTATGAGTAATTTAACGATCTAATCAACAATGGTTAGTTAATTCTACAATACGCCTTACAAAGATATGTTTGTTTCGATGTGATACCGTGTTGCATCATGTTCTGTGTTTGAGTTTCCAAGTATGATTAATAGGTTTTAACACAATCCGTCTTCCCCAAACTTTGAAGATACTAAAGCCGCAAGACGGTAGGTATCTTGATTACGTTAAAACACCCCAATAACATAACTATTAACAACTCCTTGCGTCGTGACGTTTTTAGAGAAATTATTTATTACACGTGCATCAAAATTGTAAAGATTACGTTTCTAGAAACATAATATCTATAAATGCAAAATACGTGTACACAACTAAATACTGTAACTACTTAATCACGCAATGCTTTTGAAACTTCGTCACGTGACTCAATAAGTCAAACTGAACAAGAAGTCTGGTTTCAACATGAAGAAAACTAAGTCAGCAACATAAATCCCAGTTTGAACATAAATTCTGCAAAGTCGGGGCCGAACTTTGGAAAGTAGGTTTAGCCTTCAGGCTACACAATGGTTCTAGTTTAGCACTAGAATAGTTCGCAAACAGGGCGGAAATTGAAGTCTATGAAATTAGAAAACTACATTTCGCTATTTCGCTTTTGCGTAAAGTAAAGTCTTTTGTGTGAACAGAACTTTACTTAAAATTTTAAAAGATTATAAAATACCAACACGGCAAAAATTCAATAGAGGTTCTATAGGTTCTATAGCTTCCCGTACTCTGGATTAGCATTTTGATAATGACCTTTAATAGATATCCGGACAACTTAAATAATAGTAAAATTTATAAACATATTACAATTATTCTATATTAACTTTTATATTATTGCAAACATTCACTAAATATATACAAAATATAATTGTTACTTATGAAAACTATTGCGATGATTGAACTCATGATAACTCTCGTATGGTTTCTTTCTGCAAAGATAATTTTTTTACATTGTAAATTACAGCTAGGTTTTATAAGACAGTTAAATGTAAAATAATATTTTTGGTGAAATACTTCTAAGACGTTAGGTACCTACATTCTTTTACATTCGAAATAGAAATCATCTGATTTTCTAGGTCAAATGAAATAATTAAATTAGTACAAAACAAACAAAAAATATTTTACATTAAAATGACTATTATTCGTAAATTCAATTACAACCATTTTTCACAAAGACAACCCTACTGTTTAGAACTCAACTTCAGAAAAGAGCTAAGATTAGCAATCGCAACAGTTGTTAGGAATCCAACCGGTTTTCTATATAAGCCATTTCCAGTTTCCGCACAGATCTGCAAGCCCAACAGGCGAGCTTCATTCCTCATATGAGAAAAGCTTTTCAGTTAACTTCCATTTTATCAACAAGGACTGGACTGAAAAAAATACATTAATACAATTTTTTTACCTGTGGCAATAATTAATAAAGGCCGTGATAATAAAATAAGATATAATTTCAAACCAATTTCCACCGGTGGGAGATTATGGAAGATTCTCAGTGTTAGCATAGATAAAAGGGCCTTTTATCCGGTGTTAGTACCAAAATTATTAAAACTACATAGGGGTATTGTGACTGTATAAGGATTGGTGTTTGGGTTTTTATTCTAAACTGTTGTTCTTTTTACGGCCAATTGTAACCAATCCACCATCTAAATATTTTTTCAATAACTCTTACTTTGCAAAATTTATCTTAAGTAACATTCCACTGAATTTTAGGAACTTCTTAGCCAAACTGAACATTTATCACTGTATACAAATTTCATATAATTATATGAAAATATTCTATTTATATGGCTTGGTTGTATATTTTTTAAACACAACTGCGCATTTTTTCAACTCAGTTGTATGGTTTTTCTTTAATTAAACTTTTATTCGTTTCTCCCTACCCAAATCATAGCAGATAGAAAATTTTAAATTCAAAGTATTTAGTTAAAGGTTATAAATTATATTTTGCAGCCAATAGGAAATGTCCAAGTACATTTTTGTACTACAGTATTAAGAAAAGTAATTAGTTCCTTTAAAAATCTGTTGTAAAATTCGAAGTTTTACGCCACTGTTATGTACATTAATTATTGTACATTTTTCACACTCAACCTATTCGCCAGATTTAATTTACTCAATACTTACAGACAGTAATAAAAAAAATTATAAATAATAAGTCAACGGCGCTGCGAAAGTTATAAAACAATATAACAAAAAATTTCAATATATTTTCAACCACATAAACTTATTTATGTTTTTCAATTGTTTATAATCGACTCTGTTTAGAGTTCATGAGGATCGAGTCACCGTTGTATAGTGAAGCCAGTGCTCTAATTATATTGGAGGGGTGTACAAGAGTGCTTCAGATAATGTAAGCCCCTCCCAACTACCTGGCCGCCCTACGATATCTTTTATTTCTTAATTACATCGTTACCTTAACCTGTTGTATAGTTTACAACGAACTGAACAAAAAAATTTAAAAATGTTAACATGTGTTTTTGTTCTATCATGGTTCATGGTGTTATCATGGTTCACATTTCCATTATGTTTACTTGACGAGTTGTTTCTGTTTGCAAACAGAATTATGACTTAACATACTTCCTCATTATTTATTTTTGCAATAAAAAAGTGCGTTTCAACCTCTTTTTGAAGAAAATGGAATGAAATAAAATACAAACCCTTCTCAGACAATCACTGAATTGGCAAAGATCACCAAACTACATATTCTAGTGTCCAATCTGCGATCGTTTGTGCAGTCGTTCCTTTCAAATTGGCGCAGTTTATTTTTTGTTTCCTTTCTAATTTCTTTTATGGTTGTTTGCATTAAACCAGTACAATTGAAACTCGACAAAATTGATTTTAAATGATACGTGACCATATCATGTGTTTGGGTAATTACGGAAAGTAAATGAAATAATCTTTTACCACTTAAACGGTAGATTAGTCACATGAAATAATGCAACAAAGGTTGAATAAGAATAGATTCAGATTATCTACTACAGCAATACTCTGACGAAATAGACATATTACCATAGGTGGTTTTCAATGTATTTTCCCAGCTCCGATTCCTGGAACTACTACAATTTAGATACTTTATTTAGTTTACATAATCGTAGCTAAAAAAACTCTTGACGGTAAGAAAGAACTAAAGAAGGCACTGTCCTCAAATTGCACTCTTTCATCAACATTTCGGTAAAAAACTGTTATTTGAGTTATCATCTCAAAGAATTTGGTGATTAACCTGACAACATATAATTCGTGGAAATCTCTAATGTATTTCTGTTTAACGTATGGTATAAATATGTATAACTTAAACTAGTTTGTTAAAGAGGTATCACATTCTCTAAGCAGATTTACTCCAGCACTTGGCGGGTTTCGTTCATACAACCTTTCAAGTGATACTTTTGAAGACGTGTGTGAATGTAACAAGTATATGTTACAAAACAAACTATCTTGGTTACACACTACAGATGTAAAATTAGAAAGTAAGCAGAATTTATGTTTGAGATTTTAGAGCTATTAACCCTAATAAATATAAAAGCTACTTTTAAAGGGTCAAAGAAAGCTCTTTATACAAAAATCCCCACAAATGGTGTATAATTGCATTCTAAATTCAGCGTTATGTGGGTTTTATGTTTGCAAACAATTAGAAAACAGGATGCGGGTGTTGCATAATCACATTGCAACAACGGCAACTTATCAACAACATTTAATAGGATTTATATTTCGATTAAGAGTTCATAATTCAACATTTCAGTTTGGCCGTTAAAAATCCGAGCGTAGTTTAAAATGAAATTACTAAATATTATTGAAGAATATTGTAAGATACCACATTCGCAAATGAGAAATATTTTTTTCCATAACTCTACAGGAATGC